CGAACTGATACCGTTAAGATGCTCTTAATAGGAACTCAGTTATTTTTATTGCCAATCAGTGCCTGACAGAAGCTCCCCAGAAGCAAAGTGCTGATGCTTAACTCAGGTTCGAATCTGATCTGCTCAACAGACCTACAGGATGAACGTTTCAGAGTAATTTATGACTGTATCAGCATTGAATCAAACAAAATGTGAAGTTCAGTGGAGAAAACGATCCTTACAAATAGCACTTTGTCTCACAAAATTTGACAGTGCAAATGAGAAAGGTTCTCTGTTCCATGCGGTTGAGTGGAGTTCAGTTTAAAAGACAGAAATAGCACAGTTGTGTGTAAATTATTATTATTATGTGACATTATTTGAAAACAACTCTGAAAGAATGAAGACTAAAAATCTCATCTAATTAATGCGTAACAATAGTTGATGATTTATTGACTCTTCTGTGAATATACAGATTCTATTAACAATATTTAGATACATTTTCTCAGAAATTCTTAATTATTTATGTTTAGTAATTTATGATTAAACATTTTACAAGAAACAAGGCACTAAAATGTACAGTTAGTCATCCTTATTACATACTGTGTGAGTTTCAGACATACGGTAGATTCCCCTCACTTAGACAATTACAGGCTCTCTTCCTCCAATGGTACTTTTCATTGCATTTCAAACATACCCAACCTTTAGAAAGTACACATTTTAGGGCCCTACTTTTGTCTCCTTTTACTCACTGTTTCTGTAGGAAAAACAAAGAATTTGCTATGAAAATTAGCTACACAATAAAGATAATGAACACTCCATTCCTCACATTTCTAAGGACTTGGACATACTGTGAGGTCTTTAGAGATTCGAACTATGATGTGGGCATTATTTACCAATTAAAAACAACAGTAACAAAAAAAGTTGTTTAAAGGTGTAATTCCAGAAGCTACTTCCATGCAGGACAGAACCAGCTTTGGTGGTGTTTGAGGCACTAAAATACTAAACCAACAATTTACAACGTGTGAGATGTTGGAGGCTGACACCATGCTAGGAAAATCAGATTGGGCTCGTGGCTATCATTTGGCTAAAAATGGGATCTTAAATAATGTATAGTTTTTAGTGCAATTTAAAAAACAAAACCCAGAAACTGTTGCTAATTAAAGGCAAAGACCACAAGAGATACCATCTAATACTCCATTAAAATATTTAGTATCAGAAGGAGTGTATACATTTTCAAGTATCTTATGACAAATAGCCCAATACTCAAGTGCTAGTTCTGTTTTAGATGCTCACTGACTAAAAGCACAAACACGGCACAATGTAATTTTATATACTGTTAAAATACAACAGAATCTAATGCCACATAATAAATACAATATGGTGTAAAGAAAGAGGGGTTTCCTAATTATTTGACCACTTATACAAAAATGACAAAGAGGAGTGCCTAGATTCAAGTTTCTCCTTGAGATTCTCAGGCACTATTTCAGAGTTCTGATTTTCAGTGCCTCTGCATTTAGACTGAAGTGATCCTGAACCCCCTGAGCACACATGGAAAGATTACCACTTTCAGAGATTTTCAGAGGATCCTCGTAGTCTCGTTGACCAAAGGAATTCAAGTGCTATTCCACTGCTGGTGGAATATACATGCAAAATAGGGGAAGCTTGTGTAGGATAAGAAAAAGTGATGGTAGAGAGAGAACCCCTCACAACAACCTCAAGTAATACCCTGGGTCATTGACGAATTAAAGTGAAAGTTACTTTTTCCTCTCAGAAAGAGAAGATTTCTAAAAACCTGGCCAGTAAGTCTTCTCAAAACATGGCCACCATGATGTACCATCACAAGATGGCAGTAGACATTTGGCAGAGATGTCAATAACACATTCGGAAATAAATTATCTCTTAATGAATTTTTGCTTTTTGGGTATTGTAAAAATATTTCTGTTAAATAGCATGAATTTTTGGAAAAGAGAGGTTCTTACTTAACAGTATGAGTCACCCAAAAAGCACAGGAGGAAAAAATGTTAAAGACAACCATTATGTGATTGCTTTTCATAAGCAAAAACTACATTTTTTTTCCTCGTGGTCGCATAGGTTCGAAATTCCAGAAGATGCCCAGGTGAAGTGGGGCTCCAATGCTCCCTGGAAATTGGTAGGATCTGAAAATGTAACCAACAAGCTTTACTGAAAATCTCACACGTGCTTTCTAGAGCCCATTTTGCCCAGAAGTTCTGACTTGCCATGATCCCTGATGAGACAATGGGTCAGCACCTCTGAAAAACAGGCCCTGTAACTACACTAGCGCTGCTGGATGGTAGTTGGTGGCAAAACAGTTTGTACACCTTGTGACTGGAAGTTCAGAAACACAACCACAAAAAGAAAGGTATTCTTAGGACTGAGACTTCTACTTCTCTGGGAAGTAAGACACTGGAATATCTCTATATTTGCATTTATGGACTACCAGAATGTTTTCCTGGTACAGATCTAAAATGTCAGGACATCTGCATCTTGAGAAGCTGAAGATCAGATCTCTCATTATTTAACCTTAGACTCTTCAGAAAGAAAAAAAAAAGTGGAAAGTATAAATTAACACAAAAGCTCACATATAGCTGAAAATACAAAATAATAGAAAAAGATTCAATATATTGTTCATTTGGTTGAATTCATGTATGTATCGGACTGGGGATGGATTAACATAGTTGGCTTTATTTTTATAATTAAGAATGCTCACTTATTTGATGGAAGTGGCAAAGATTTTACAAGGAAGAAAGATGAGAACATGCCTGTGTGATGTATTAACCATACCAGTTAACCAAATCCTAACAGGACACTGAATCTGTCAGACTGAAGCTGTGTTTATTTATTGCTCTAAGTAGTTGAACGTTTACAGACCATAATTTTAAGTTGAACCATGATTTGGAAGATTTTATTACGTAACAATTCAAAAAAACCATTGCTTACCACCCAAAGCTATTTTTACAGATCACCAAAGTGACCCACTGCTGCTACTATGTCCCTACTTGTGTTTTAAGGTGTGATGGGATGTGGGCTTGACTTTGCAGTGCCGTGGGGCTTGAGCCACTTCCGTCCATGCTGCGTGTAAGAGAAGGGCTTAAGTCTTTTCCTGTGCCTGATTTTCCCAGCCTGGCTCCCTGACGGTGCATTCGGGCTGGATTTACAGAAGTGGCGTTGGCAGCTGTGGCATTTGGACCAGAATGGAAATGGAGATCTACAGTTATCAAGCCAGTGGCAACGAGTAGAGAAATGTATTGGCTTCAGTGGAACTATGGAAGTGTAAACTGGAAGCAAGCAACTGATTTACAAGTCTACAAGAGGAGTAAAAGCAAGATTTACCCCAGAAGACAGCGTTGTAATTGGCTGAGAGAAAGTACATTGTGATCATTTGTTGATTATACCTCTAAATTTGCCACCTTATCAGGGTGACAAGCCACCTCAGTGACACCGTCAGCAATGATGATTGTTCCTGCTGGCTGAAGCCCCTCATTTTTTATTCAAATTCATCCACCACTGCTGATTTGGAAATCAGAAAAGATGCAGGGAGTCAGTGACAGACAATTTGAGAATGTGAGCCCCTCGCCATGGACCAGCTGGCACCACCACATCGCTAAATGCATCCAAGTAGGAGTATTGCATTCAAGAGGAAGAGGACAAAATCAGTATGGGAAGTCTTCCTCAAATGCTATCAGCCACCAACGGCGTGCAAGATAAAGCCCAGTCTAGCCTCAGAGCCCTCATGCGAGCCAGTAATTGAAAGCAAAACAAGTGCATTTTGGCAACTAATGTTGCTTTATTTGGCAAGGACTTCGTATTACACCTCATTTTAGACAGAAAGTTGGAGGTAAGAAAGTATTTGGACTGGACATTATTGTTCCTTAAGCAGAGGTTTAACCTCTCTATTAGGTCAGCACTGATAACTCCCCGCCTGCCAAAATTTCTGCCCTGATTTAAATACCAAATCCATCACATCACCTCCCTAATTTGTACTTTTCAGAGTCTCAGAATGTGAGAGCATTTACAAGATCTTTTTCAGATAAATGGAATTTACCATGTGAGTGTCAATTCAGACTTTGCACGGTCCATAGGCTTGGTATTAAAGAGTTACGAAGCCACGTGGCTCCTTGTGTTGAAGGAAGAGAATGTGGGAACGTGGGAACATGCAGATGTGTAATAAAACAACTTTTAGTAAAGCTTCAGTGAGAGTAACAGGGCAAAATTTCAGAACTCCACAATTAAACAGAAGCAGGAGGTTTTTTTCCACTCATTATACTGTGATACAGAATACGTGGCAGGAATTTATATGGGTGATTCAGCTGATCCATTTGTGGCTTAGTCCATAATTTCAGGGCATAATTCTAAGAAAAGGGAAAGGGTTTGTACGTGACCAAATAATGGACAGAGCTTGAGCAGCTTGTATGTCACCTCGTTAGTGACATATAAATAATAAATTACTGCTAAACTGGTGTATAATGCCAGTTTCAGATTCAGGGCTGTCCAAGAACAGCCTCTTATATCTGAGAAGAAATATCTGAAGACTAGTGGAATATAATCAATCTCAAGTTGTGCTGAATGCAAACCTAATTCTATTCTCTTGCCAAACAAATTTGATTAATTAGGTGCTCTAACATTTGGTCAGAACTGAAGCACACAACTATTCTGCAGCTGGACTGAATAACAAAAGGAAAACAAACAATCTCAAACAACATTTTTTTAAAAAACACAGATAAATTAAATAAGGACTATCTAAAAAAAATCTGTCTTGCTTTATTTCCGTTACCTTAGAGGACTGAATAACAAAAGGAAAACAAACAATCTCAAACAACATTTTTTTAAAAAACACAGATAAATTAAATAAGGACTATCTAAAAAAAATCTGTCTTGCTTTATTTCCGTTACCTTAGAGAGCTCTTTCCCTAAATAGACACATATATATATGTAGTGTAGCTTTTTATCTGGACAGCTCTTCACCAGGAAGGCAACAGATTCTTTCTAGCTATTTTGACGGCTTAATTCTATTTTTTTCCTTTTTTTTTTTTTTTTTTTTTTTTCCTGAGGTTGTTTTGACAGATTGGGAAATCTAGACTAGGATGAATTAGAAAATTGGCAAAAATACTTCTTGATTCTTGCTGTTAAAGATGTTGACCATCCAGTGAGATGCATCCACACACCCTCACAAATATAACAGTTTTATAAACCAGATGCGATGCACAACCTTTTCATTTTCCTTGCTGTACAGCCTGTGCCATTTGGCAGACCGTGTGCTGGACAAATTTCACATGCCTTTCCACAGTCTGAGAAAATTGTCCAACTTCAGTTTAGTAGAGAGTTAGGTCTAATAACTGTGGTTGGATTCCTAATTGATGTGGTTACTTTTTTTATTGTCAGGCACTTGGAGCTGGGAATGGTATGATGGACGTGTCCAGAGTCTCGGAGGAAAGAGTGATCAGGGAAGGTGAAGACCATGCTGGAGAATTGTTCAACATATATGACGGTGTTACCTCCTAGGACAGCTAAGAGCTGTCTTCACTTCTGACTCACTCTAAAAGACATTCCAGCCCTTTTTTTTGCCTTTTCAAGTTTTTAATTTGTTCAGTGCTGTTAACATAACTGATGGTGGTGTGGGATGCCTAAAACCTTTACCACCAGAATAGTAAAATATTCAGAGCCACAGCTAGTACTTTTCTATTTTATTGCTCTTGTTTTAGGCCCAGAAATCTGTGCATGTTTCTATGTGCACCTTCTTTACAGATAATGGAATCAAGCCGTTTCATGTAATAGCATGGAAAAAAAATTTAAAAAAATCTAAGAAGCAAAGTCACTTGTAAATCAGCAACACAGAAGTTAATCTGTGATACTGGAAACAGAGATCGCTACTTGTTTTTACTGTAAAAATGCATTATTATCCTATTCTTATAGATGGCAACAAATTGTCTTCTTTCCTCCATAATGTTTTTAAGATTATATTAACAGACGCTGCATATTATCCTATCATTTTGTTACTTGGTTTATTTTATTAGCCTAAATGTATTAATTTTAGCACACATTAGTACTTACTTTGCATGGAAACATTTCTGAATATCTAACTAGAGACAAAGGTCAGGAAGAGTGATGATGTGTGAGTTTCCAGTCAGCTGCTTTGAGAAGAAACAGAAAAATAATGCAAAAAGACAGGCAATTATCTTAGGAAAACAACTAAGATGCATCAGTGATAAAAATAGCTTTGAACAAGCTAGCTCAAAATATGAAATCACAGGACTACTTGCAAGTGACTTTACTTGCCTGGAAAAAAATACAATTAAGATAATTTTTTAAGATTTGCGCGTAATTCACCTGCCCCCAAAGTAACCATATATAGATGTGAAGCAGTTTATCATTTCAATGACATTGTGAGAAAAATACCTGAAAATATGACACTGCAGGGGTATCGGGTTGTACAGACTGTAACCACAGAGACTCAGAATGAAACCGGAAGCGTTACAATGCAAGTGAGGGAGAAGGAGGAGGACGGATCATAAAAGCCACTGTAGCTACAACCTGCGAATAAAAAAATCTGCAAAACGTCATTGAAAAACATCTTTGTAATCATACAAATCCTTGGGACACTGCCAATTTGGTATTGGAAACACACAAAGATAAATGCCCATTAAGTAAAATTCAGGACAACATCCTCAGCTGCCCCAGTCGTGGTATAACTCAGAAAAGGGTAGCCCCGAGGCACCCTTCCTTTCTCTGCTCACAGGGCTGCAACGGGACTACTTCAGCCTTGTGGTCTGAGCACTGAGCCCAGCCACAGCGGCCGCCCCGGCCCCGGTAAGGACTGCTTCTCTCAGCAGTGCCTGGCCAGGAGGGCTGTGTCTTTCAGCTCTGCCTAAATACATCTCTGCACTGGAAGAAAGAGCATCACAGAGAGGATTTGTGTCAGGCAGTGAGATCCCTTGCTCCTGTGGCACAGCAGCCTGGGTGTTGAGAGAAGTAGTATAATAGATTGCAGGATGGGTTATTTCTTTGTCAAGGTAAGAGCCCAAATTTGAGGAAATATCTGTGAAAATCTTCCACTGAGACTCTTCCACTACCTAGAAAGATGGAACTTTGTTATCAGAAAGCCTCAAACTTAACCTCTGCAGAACCCCAAAGATTAATGAAGAATTGGAACCACTTACACAGCATCCTGCATTAGCTCTGATCCCGATGAATGACTTAGTGGTCACAGACTGTCCTCCCAGAATTCATAGAGCTGGAATGGAGAAGGTGCTCTTCTCTATTCAGCCCTTTCTCTACACTACCCTCTCTTCAAAATCCTCTGTTTCCCAGTCTCTGTGCAGAGTCAAGAATGCTTGAGCAGCTGTGTAGAACAGGCTTACTAAACATGCTTCCCATGGAAGGAGAAGATGACGACTGTGAGGAGCACCCATTTCATGCTCAGGTGTTGTGATAACAGGCAATCTGGGCAAGAGAAAGGAAAGAGCAAAACACGGACCTCTGGATGAAACCCCCTGCTCATATTGCTAGTTAAAAAAAATAAGGGGGAACACAGACATAAGGAAGAAATGCAGGAAAAAAATATCAACAAATAAAAAAGATTGTATCAGCTCTCCAAGGAGAGACAGCACTTGGAGCCAGGCTAGGGTCATTTTTGGGAGCGTAAAGGAATTCAACAGATCTTGGCTGGAAGGTCTTAGTTTCTCTTCATAAGAACATAGAGGCTGAGAACAACGGCCACAACATGTCTGCTATATATTTCTCTTATGAAGTTAGGTAGGGATAATTTTACCCCATATATCTTTTAATTTTATTCCTGCCAACAACTTGTATAACAAATCCAGAGAAGAACAGACATGTTGTTGTTCTTAAAATACTGCTGTATTTTATATATGAAAAAAACCTTGCAAAAATAACCTATATAGCTTGGCCAAATGGTTAACAGGAAAGCACAATTACGTGCAAGTATCTGAATGATGTAAGCTAGAAGAAAGGGAGAAGAACAAATGGACATACTGTCTGAGATGTATATGGTAAATAGAAGAAAATCAAACAAAAGAAAAGATAAATCCTAACAGCAGAGGAAGTAATTGCAAAAAAATGGTAAAAGCCACATTTTTCAAGTTGTTTAAACTCTCCCCCACCAATCACTTTTTATAAAGCCTTTAGATGGAGAAGCCAAAGCCTGGCAAGGAGACACATTACTTCATCTTGTTGATATTTTACATTTTTCTGTGTCTATCACCCAAGAGTCAGACACAGCTGGGAAAGCAAAAGCCTGTGTCGCCAGTAAGACATCTATTACCTGGACCAGAAAAGCCTCTTGTATCATTTGTGTTAGGTTGACATTCCCATCCCCTCTATGCATGTACTGAGCATTCTTTCTTTCATATCTTCATCTTTACTCTTTCTATTTTTTCTCCTCTCATATTCTTTCTTCTAAATGGAAGCTGAACTAAAAGGGTCTACTGTTCAGCCTACAAGCTGTAACTTTTGGTGTCAGAATAAGCATATATATCAAAATGCAAGGCATTGCCCACTTAGTACAGTCTGAAAACATGCATATTTTAAACTATATTTTAATATAAAAATAAAACAATCTTTCATAAGCAATGGTATAACTTTCAGGAGTCAAATCTACATTTATCTCACCTATCATGACATTCTCCCTGGCCTATTTTGTACCTTCTCACAGGGCTCTCTACACCTCGATTGTCTCTCCATTCTTGCTCTCTTCACAGTGCTGAAATTGTCTCCATCCAGCACCTTTTGACACCTTAATATACATGGTTTCAATGTCATAGTTTCAAATTACTTTCACTTAGAAGCAATGTGGAAGGAATCCCATCACTGGTTAAGAGAAATGTCTTTGCTATCCTTTTTTCTGGATGGTGACTGAACAACTGTCATGACCACTCAAATAATTGACTCATCTTCCAGACCACAGAATGCAACCTCAGAACAAAAAAGTCTTCACTCCTGTTTACTTCTTTCTTTTGCCTCTACTGCTATTATACAGGATTGTCCTACCTTCCAAAAGTGTTGCCATTCAGCAGAAAAAAGCGTCCATAATGACATCCTTCTTTGGAAGTCCTGTGCTTCAGTCATACAGCCAATTTATAAGAAAACTGAATTTGAATTTGCTGTCAAAAAGATCTGTCTTTGGACTTCATACATGGCCTATTTTTTTTTTTGATCTTGAAACAGCTCTGCAATTCTTTTTTTCTCTGACATATAAAATAAATTGCAATAAATCACTGCCATTGCATTTGCTTGTGTTAGCACATGGAAGGGAGCACTGCACGTACCACAGCGTTAACCACAGTGAGGACTGTGGCTGATAATGGCAGTGCTTGCAAAGATGAATCACCAGCAGGGAAAGCCCTTCTAGTAAAAAATACAACCCCACTACCACTTCCCAAACAAACCCAAAAGAAACTCCACCAGAAAGAACATGTAGGGAAGAGATGGGAGTGTAACAGGGAAGAACAGTATGTTTTGTAACGTACCCTAACTTGAATATGTTGCTCACTGTAAGGACTTGCCCTCATGAATCATGATCTGAAAATACTTTATTGAATAACGGGATGCTCAGGTTTTTCAATGAAAATGTTGTTCATTTTTCTTACTGCTTCAAATGATAGTTGTACACCTTCCTGTAAAACAGTTTTTCACACATCAGAGGTTCTTAGGAATCTTTGCGGAGTTCTGTATTTCACATTTTCTTAACCCTTGCCCCACTAGACTAAATGATTGCCTGGGGAAGGATTACCCTTATTTGTGCTCTCCTACTAACTACTATTCCAGGCCCCCAAACTCTGTGGGGACCTCCATGTGAATGTTTTCTTACAAATCATGTCCATCATCCCTTATTGACAACAAAGGCAAGAAACATATCACTGTAACACACAGGACAGAACAAAAGAGAACAGTGCTCCAAGACAGGAACAATTTCCTTGAACTGCTTCCCACCCTATGTGCAGGTAAAGAGGATGAGCCTTATTTTTTTCTTGTAGCTAGGGAGAGGCTGAAATACTCCTGCTACACCATCAAGTATAGCCAACGGATTGGCTGGCTCGCTACATTTTAAGAGCTTTATTAATTGTTGAAAAGCTCTTCCCCTCAGAATGACTCCAAGTGAACAGTGCACAGTGTTGGCAGCAGCACACGACCTGTTTTGGTATTCTAGTTGAATACAAGATGGGCCTGGAGAGGACAAGCACAATGGCTTTTGAGGAAGAAGTCACCTTCTTTCCAACTTCTTAATGGTCAAGGCTCAAACAACTGGAGGGCCAGTCCACAACCATTTGCTCAAACAGCCTGTCAGCTGGAAAATACTACTGTTCTTCACAAGCAAAGGGATCAGTTACTACAGTGGTCCTTGTGCACCTTCCTTAATTTTCACATCTTCTGTGAAGAGTAAGTTATGAACTATATTAACCACAGACAAGGTCTTTTCCCTAAGCCCCAGCATAACAATCCAAACAATACCTGTCAGTCACCTTTTGTCTCAATACCAGAGAGCAACTCCAACCCTTGCCTTCATTTGGGAAATGGTAAATAGGAAGAGCTGGAAATAAAAATAAACACTGCAACCTGATGTTTAAAGCCATTTTCTTATAAGCACCCAATGTAAGAATACCTGGAGTACCTTAAATTTCAAAAGAATGTTAGAGTATTCTGAGAGGGGGAAATATATTCACATTTTAGAATACTGTGCATGTCTGAAAGTTAAACAAATCAGAACCACCTACAAATGAACAATACGATTTTCCCCTTGGTGGACTCAACTACTGTTTCCCTAAAAGTGAAGAGTCAAAGTGTGTTCACTACCAGCTGGGCACCTATCCTGTCCCTGTACATTCACATTAAAAAACCCTCTTTCCAGTGCGCATTACTCAGAAATGTGCTTAGTCAGACTGATTCTCTGCCCCTTTGAATTAGGGTGAGTTAGGAAAGGGTCTGTTAAAGGATGATACAGGCCATTCTTTTGTGATGGTCTGCAGTTTTCTCTCCCAATACATTTTCTTTTTATTTAGCACTTCCATTTTTATCCTGTGTTCCTCTTCGGCCATCTCACACTCTCTTTCTATTTGCTGTATTTTTGCCACATGAACTTCATTCATTTGGATTAATTGCAGTTGCAAAATTGACATTTGCTGATGATGTTCTTCCTCATGCATCTTTTTCAGAGCACTTTCCTGAGATGCTTTACTTCTGTAGTTCTTATCTGCTGCTATTCTGACATCAGAACATGAAGGCTCAGGTTGGGAGGTACCTTCACACACTGGGAAATGGACCAGCTCTTTCTCTTCATCACAAAGTTCTCTATTTGAGACAACAAATGACTCTGCAAAACATAAGAGGAAAAAGCATTATAGTATTCCCTTCTCCCTCAAGAAACACGAACTTGTGATAATATAGTTATTAGTGTATGCATCTAAACTTTGTGCTTCTGTACCATAGTACAGGAGTCACTACATAATGCAGTTCTGCTACAGAATACTACGGGTATAATGGTCTGAACTGAACCATTCTGGGCTCTGTTGATAGACCTCCATGGCAATAATGGGAGCTCAGAATACTAGAGTGGAGACATTTATAAGTGGACACCTAAATATAGGTGAAGCCTAACCTTAGGAGCTGAACCTTAATGTAGCTCTTTAAGCCAAATCTGCATGTGACTTACAATGTTTTTATGAAAGATCTGAAGGTCAGGTAAAGAGCTGTATCAACATGAATACCAAGGGACCGAGGGAATACCAGGAAGAATACTACTTATTCCTTCCTTATCTCTACTCTACACATCATAAACACACTGGTGTATATTTTCAGGAAAAAAATTTACATTATTCTAACTTTGAGAAAAGTATTCTGAAATAAAAGAAACTACTCATGAAATAAAATAGTTACCACTGCAAATAAGGGTCTCAAAATACATTCCTTTACAAATCCTGAGGACTACTTATGGTAAATACATTTATGAAAGAGACAATGTAAGAATGTTATCTAAAAATGTAGTTACTGTTGTCTTTTGAGCAAGGACGGTCTCCTCTGTGCGATCCTGACATAATAAAGTTTGCAAGAAACCACTGTAGCCACCCTGCCTTCTGGTTTTGGATTATTCCTTCTGTGTATGCTTGCCAAACCAAGAAGAATGTAGTGCTGAACTTTTTCAGAAAGGCCATTCTCCAGTGTGGATGCAGTGTGAAATATGGCTCTACATACTCTTTTTAGTCCTTGAAAACAAAGGAGGAAAGACCTACAGGGAACTCTTGCAGCAGACAATTGTTTATCAATTTGCTGCTGGTATCTCTTTATTTTTTTTTAAATGCTCAAACAACCTTTTCACAACAAAATGATACTTTATAAAGGATCAAAATATCTTTGGGACTGTTCTCTGGTAAACCAGCATGATAGCTACTGTGATGCTTGCCACAAAGCAACAGATATGTCAAAAACTGATGGGAAAAAGAATTGTGTAAAACCTCAGTTTAATTCCTGGGGGCCTAGGGAAATACATGCAGTCTTGTAATCTCATAGCTCTGAAATTACTTTTCTATAACCAGCAGTCACAACTAAGTGGAGAGATTTAGACTGCTGAAAGAGAACCACTGGCAAAGTCACACAGAAATGAATACTACTTGCATCATTACAGTAACATGTGTACCTTGACTAGAAGCATCAGGCTGATATTCAGGATCTTCTTCTGGTGGGCTCTGCAAAAAGTACATTTGCTCAGGCATTATGCTGGCAATCTTCTCTTTCCCTATGATGTGAGTATTTATAAGTGGACTAATACTTCTTTTTACCTTCTCCCGCCTTTCATGTGCCATTATCTTTTTTGTCCGTGCCTTGATATTTTCCCAGCATTTCTTTAACTGTTTGAAGTCTCGCAGTGATACACTGGGCTGTGAATTATATTCATGGGCTAGTGCTTGCCAGGTACGTTGTTTCAGAGCAATGGTTCTTGCATCACTTTTTTTACATTCAAGCACGTATTTGTATTTTTCAACTAATGCAAGCAGCACACTCTTCTCCACTTCTGAGAAGTATTTAGCAGGCTTTATTATTTCGTTTTGCATTTTCTATTGTTTCTCCAAGAAGCCAAAAAATCCTATGAAAACAAGGTTGAAAGCAAAAAAAAAAAAACAAACACCAATTAGAACTGGTTACAGTATCGAGAAACTCTTGTTTCAGCAAATAATTCCTAAGCATAGCTTCTAACACACTTCATTTTCTAGAATAGCTTGTGAATAGTTCTAGAGTACATAATGAAACATTATCAGGTAAGACATAGAATAATTATATGCTGTTCTCTATTGCCACTTTACAGGCTACACAGTTACAGAATTACTATAACATAATGAGGACAAGCTTCTTGTCTTTGTTACAGATTACCTTGATAGAAAATACTCAGTATTCAATTTACTTAGTAACTTGTTTTTAATAACTTGTTTTCCTATTCACTGCACTTCGCTACACCTGGAGAGTTTTAAAAGCACTGAACTGTGGAATGAGTTCTGAAACCCAGCCCTGGATAGCTTCAGGTTTAAGACTAAAGCCACCTTCAGCAGATTTGGGTTTCCTCTGGTACACAAAAGACCCTCTTCGGCCCTTGCAGACTGCACGTAACTAATTCCTCCTGTCTCTCCACAATATTTGAAAGTTGTATGAGAAATGATAGTAAGAAGTTTCCTTTTAAAAGACTTCTGGCTGGCTGGCTCTCCCCCGTGCTCAGCCCTTCTTGACTGGCATCCAATAGGCAGCAGCATCCTGACCACTATTACAATACTGACAAGAGGGAAGGGTTGCAAGAAGACACACATTTATTACAGAACCTAACTGCTCTGAAGGTATAGGTCCTTCCACCTTTACTGACGACTCTGCATTTCTGGCACTTTTCCTTACGCTTGCACTGCTGGTCACTCTCAGGAGTAGGACCAGGCTAAAAAGAGGGTCCTACTAAAAAGTAGGGCTCGCTCAAGACAGCCACTGCTATATACTTATACCGTGTTAATGACTGCCTGTCTTCTCAAACCTAGGACTTACGTACACACTAAGAAAAGGGTAGCTGATACCAGGGAATTCTTAGCCATAAAAAAAAAAAAAAAAAAAAGCAGTGACTCCTTGAATTATTAATACATGACTGTGCTGCAAAATATATTTTTTTCTTTTTATCTTTCCACACTTCTCTCCCCCTGCCCTCCCACTACAACTGTGTATACTGAATTACTTTTACATTTTGGGCAGAAACTTCTGGATCATTAAGTAGGAAAAGGGGGAGCAACATTGTCTTAGCTCATATTTCTTCTGGCTTTAATCATGAAACTCAAAGACAAAATATATAAAATAACTGGTTCTTATCCCTAACAGTCTAGGACTCTCCCAAAATGAATTGTCTAGTATTTTGCCCATTATTTTCACTACTTCCCTCCATATATTACTTGAAGATGTAATAGATGTCACCATCAGATTTCCTCTTTCCAATATTTTTTTCCTTAATTCCACTGCACTAGCAGTCTCTTTTTACCATCACTGTAATTCCTTTCCTCCAAACATCTTAATACTTAGAGTTATTCTCATCTTTTTCAGTGAAGGTAACCACTTATATTTACAAAGAAAGCTAAAAGACAAGCTAATGTCAAAATGAGAAACCAACTCTGACGTAAGAACGGGAGCTTTCTCAAGTAGCTTATAAAATACGACAAAACCCAGCAAAACAAAGATGAATCAAAGAATAGAGGCTGCAGTAGAACAAAGCCTAGAATAGTAAAACCGAGACAAAGTGAACAGAAATAAGTATCAGTTTAAGTTGGGGGTTGGTCCCTTCCGACCCAAACTATTCTATGATTCTATGTTGTCAGTAGCTAAGTTGTACCCCTACTGAAAAAAGAGGCAATAAACACTCAGTTTGTATTTTGTGTCACTGCTCAACTGGGTAACCACTGGGCATGTACTGACTAGACAGCAAGCAGCTACATGGTTCCTGGTGAGTCACAGTTCTGCTACCAAATGCTGCCGGGTCTCCTGCCAAATGCTGGTGTCAGGAGGACACGGGAGACCTGGAGTTTTTGCAGCAGACAGGATTTAGGGGACAAAAGGAAAGATCCATAGGAAAATAGACTTTATTAGTTCTGCTGCTTACAGAACAGTTTGTTTATTTTGCAAGAAAAAAAAAAAAAAAAGGTGGAAGAAGGAATAGAGCTGGGTGGCTGAGTGTAAGAAAGACAGTTCCCTGATCCAGCATTTCCTCCATCACACTGTATCCAGTTATTTATTACTCTCTGTGAAAACTTAAGACACTCCATGTGTTGGTGACAGTAATTCTTGAACACCTGTAATCCAACAGAACAAAGTGTATGTAGTATCACATATCAATTATTATAATGTCTAGGTCTAATAGACAGAGGAGAACATCTGCTTCAGAAGTTCCCTTAATAAAAAATAAATCAAAAAAAATTAGCAAAAATTCTGGAAACAGACATTCTAACAAAGAGATACTGAAAACTGGCAACTTCTCTCCATGAAACAGCTCCCAAAACACATAAAATAAGAGACCTACAATGAAACAGACTCTATCTACCAATCTATTTTAATTATGCGCTTATTGTATCATTATAAACCATTGAGCTACTTTGGACAGCTGCTGAAATTAAATTCTTGGGACTAAATACTGAAACTTGTCTTAGCCTCCGTTTCACAGAGGAACAGGACGAAAAGCAGTCCCACCAGCAAGTCATAAGGTCCAAGGTCATAAACCCTGAAAAACCAGGATGAGAGACTCCATGTGATCAGAAATGGCTGATTCTACCTTTCAGTCACTTTGTAAATCTTATTTCTAGCTTTGAAAAGCTGTGAGAATCTCAGGCCAAAAATCATGATGTATTTGTGTGTAGAAAATCTCTTTAGTTAGAAAAACAATGGATTTTCCAGAACTTTGAATAATAAGTTCAAAAAGTTAAACAATGATACAGGCATTTCTGGATTCCAGGTGCTAAATATTTAGCTACAGAGGTTGTCAGAGATCAACTGATATCAGTAAATGTTTAAAACATTTCCAAAAATTACTTCATATATATTAACAACAGTGTACTAGGATAAAGGCTCATCTTTCATGGATGGAGCCACAGCAAACCCTTAAGTATCACTTTTATACCGCGCTATCATTTATTACTATTATTTTTACTGTGGTAGTATCTGAGATCCCCAGTCATAAACTCAAATAGTGTATTTAAGAATGGAAACCTAGGTCCCACTCTGAGAATAATAGAATATATTAGTCTTCCCTTCCCCCATACATATTCCTAACTATTTTTTTCTACACATACACACTGTACTTGTGTTCTTTCCATGAAAAAGCCAGGATCATGATCTAGGATGCATAAAAGAACTCAAGAACTACTGAAAACAGTTTAATGCATTTGCTACACCAAAGAGTTCTTGAAGATTCTTTTCAAGCTCTTACACACTTAGCCTTCTTGCTTCAATATATTAAAGCCCATTTTCAACTGGGTGAACAGAAAGCATTCTGAGATGTCAGAGAACTTAAAACACTGAGAAGGTACAGCAAAACGCCAGCACGTACTTATATTCACCTCTTTTTCTTTATGCATATCAATCACCCTCTGACAGTCCACTAGCTACTCTGTGCAATATAAGAAAGGACTCTCATAAGCCCAAACAATTTCCATTTCAAGGCTAAAAGATCCTTCCAGGACATATGCCCCGGGTATAATTTAGCATGTACGAATCTGTGCTCAAATGGAAGCGGTTCACTGTGTATAGCTCATACAGTAAACAGGATTGCTTTGGCAATGTATAGGCACATGAGGACAGTTGCACAGTAAATTCTAAGAAACAAAAAATGGAAGGCTTTTCCCAGTCGTACAGGTGCCCAGGCCCTAAGACATGTGCAGCAAGGAAGTACTTTATCCTAAATATCTTCTAACATGACTAAACTCACAACTTGCCTTAAACAAATCAGTGTCTTAAGTACTGGTCCTGTCATACAAACCTTTATTGCTATAAAATAAAAAGCATATATCTCAACTCCTCATTTTTACTTGGAAATGTGGTGTGGGGTTCTTCTTTTAAAGACTATAAGGGATGTGCTGTGATCTGCTGGAAGAATATCTTGAAAAAAATTGTTAAGAAGTGCCCATATGTTCATAAATATGTATATATGTATTATTTTGCTTGCACACACCTAAACATACACCCAAACTCCAACCAGTTGCAAAGAAGCCCATTAACAAAAAATAAATAAATAAATAAATAAATCACTTCAGGTTGGCATGTGTGAGCAATTTCAGTCCCTGAAATATTTTTTTAGGCTTAAGAAAATGAAAAGACAAATTTATAGTAGAAGATTTAACCCAAATGTTAGGGTTATACTAACCAAACCCAAAGAAAATAGTTTGCCAGCAAACTGTGGTCACCTATGGTGTGAAAATGGTATTCATTTACCAATGCCAACAGGATTACTACCAAAATAATTAAGGATTGAAAAAAAAAAGAAAATTTATTTATCCAACTTAAACTGCAGGTAAAGCTTTAAGCATAGTCAGTAATTAATAGCATTGGAAATCAATCATAATACTGTCATTTCCATCCAGTGTTTGAGGGTGAAAGAAAGGAAGAGAAGTACAATGACCCAAACAAGTCACAACAACAGGTTTATATTTCATTTGAATAACAGAACTGGCAGTAAACAGTGTCCTTCTTCCTCAAGTGTTAGGTTTTCCTCTCAGAGCTTCCAGCAGAGTGTTCCAGGCCTGACCCTGTCTACCTTGAGACTTGAAATCACTAGGTAATTAGATGCATCAAACAAATATGAATGAGATCTATATGGAAATTATGTTACATATAAGCAGATTTAAAACAAAACAAAACAAAACAATCCCTTTGGGTGCTTTTTTCCCCATCTGTTTTAATACAAAGTAATAGTTAGCATAGATCATCCAGCTAATGAACAAAATCTATTAGCAAAAATTCACAGTACTTTGCCTAAAATTCTCCTGGTCGATTTTATATACGTATATACAGTGATGCATTTTTTAAATCGATATATAATATTACATTATATACACACACACATATTTTAAGCGGGTCATTCCGCTGCCTATGGAGGGCATCCAAAGCAGTTTGTGCAAAGAAAGGTAATGGACGCAGGTTGTTATTTCGAACGACTGCCTGAAATTCATCAAAAATAGGCATAAAGAGGAATCCTACCAGACTCTCCCGCACCCGAACTTCTCAAACATTAATTCGGGCTCGTTTTTTTATTTCCTCGCTATAGCTCCTCTTCTGCTCGAACGGGAAAGGAGAGCAGGTCCCGGCTCGACAAAGAAGACCGCTCCACCCAGGGCGAGCATGCAGGCTGCGGCGGAGGGCGCGGACCGGGGGACATCGACGGCGGACGGACGGACGGACAGACAGACAGACGGCCACGCTGTCACCCAGCGCCCGCCGAGACCGCGCTCAGCCCTGCCGGCGGGGACAACCCCACCCTGCAGCCCCCCTGCTTTCTCCCTTCTCCTAACAAAGCGCCGCCGCCGGCTCCCTTCCCTTCCCCTCCCCTCTCCTCCTCTTCCTCCTCCCCCGCGCTGGGCGGCCGGGCCTGCCTCCCTCACCTCCTCGCCGGCAGGTCGCCGGCACTCCTTCAGCTTCCCGCAAACCCTGCGCTGGATTTCCGCCTCTCCACAGCGCAGGCGGCGGCCTCAAGCGGCGGCGGCCTCTCCCGCTGTGCCGCGGGGAGGAACCGTCCCGGGGGACCCTGCGCCTCCAGGTGCGGCGGGGCTGCGGGGTGGTGTGCGGGGTGGTGTGGGGAGCAAACACCCACCAGCCGCCCGGAAGGGGGTGAGAGGCCCCGTCTGCTCCTGACACGGCCTCACGGCGCTAGCGGTGCCGAGCGGGGGTGGGGGGATCCCCGTCCCCTCTCACTCGCCCGTCCCGGTGCGGCGGGAGGAGACGCCAGCTCGGGCTTTACCTCCGACACCGCCCGGCCGAGCGACGCGCCTGTGCGCCAGCGCCCCTAGCGGCGGCCGCGGGGAGGCAGGCCGTGGAGGGGGGGGTGCCGCCGCTGCTCCTCCGCCGCGAGCCATCCCCTCCCGCCCGGTGCGGGGCTCCCGCTTCTCGCTCCCGTCCCGTCCCCCGGGCTACCGGCGCCCCTTCCGCGCCCGCCGTGACGCAGTTCCTGCCCGCCCGGTGCGCCCCGGGCCCCGCCGGCGGCGGCGGTTGGGCGTGTGTAACGGTCTGGCGGGGGGCGCGCGCCGCGGCCCTCCTTCGGTCCCCTGAGGAGAAAGCAGGCAGCCGCCGCGGGCGGGCGGGAGCGAGAAAGCCGGTCGGGCAGCGGGGAGTGCCGGTGGCCGCCGGGTGCCGGTTTTCCCGGGTGCCTGCCCGCTGCCCGGCTGAGGTAAGTTGGGTGCTCGGCGGTTTCCCGCGACTCCTTGCAAGAGCAGGTGTCGGTCCGCTCTACCGGGGCGGGCGGCCCCGGGGCGGGCTGGCCGGCTGGCTTCCTCGGGGCGGGGGTAGGGGGGCTCCCTTCGCGGTGGGGTTTGTATCCGCGCCGCGGTCCAGCGTGGGATCGTGGTTTTCTTCCCCAAACCCCGTGGTGCTGTCGTTAAAAAGGCGTATTTCAGGCTCCGGACGCCTGGCTGTCGCCGCTGCGTGTCAGCTGCCCCTGCGCTTATTCTCCTTATTGAAGGAGAAGGGAAGCTTGAAGTCGTTCGGGTCCGTTTTGTTTGGGGACTGTCCCTGACCTCCTGGTGGCTTGTGTTTCCTGAGGGGCAACTCTTGGGGAAGAACTGTTTCTTTCCACGCCGCGCTTTGCTCTCAAGTTAAAAATATAATGGCCAGCCTGGAGGTTTGAAGGTTGGATGTAACTGAAGATGAGGCAGGAATTAAAACTGGGACAGGCATGGCCCTTGAATAGCTGGAACAAGAATATGAATGACTTTGTGAAGCTAAAATAATAGTTTGCGATCTTTTTGTAATTTGCCCAGGGTTTCCTTATCATCTAAAGATCAAATATGGACCCTGAGGCTGAGATAAAGAAGCAAGTAAACCCTTTCTACTGCAATGTAAGTATTCCTTACTGAAAATTTTAACTAATGCAAAACAATTTTGGTAGAACCAAGTGTGAACATTTTTTTTCTTCTCTTGAGCAAAATTGATAAATAGCACTCTGAGCAAAATTGATAAATACCACTGTTGAACTTATTTTTCTGTCTTTGTCATGTTCGCGTTAGGAACCAACTTATTAAAATGAACAATTTTAATAACATTACAGGACCAGAGGAAATGATCTAAAGTTGTGGCAGGGGAAGTTTAGATCAGATATTAGGAAGAACTACTTTACTGAGAGAGTGGTCAGGCACTAGAACAGCCTGCCCAGGGAGGTGGTGGAGTCACCATCCCTGGAGGTATTTAAGAAACGTGTAGATGTGGCTCTTCAGGGCATGATCTAGAGCCCAAAATTATTGGTTTGTGGTTGGGTGTGATGTGGTGGGGTGTTGTATTTTTTGGTTTGTTGTTTTTGTTTTGTTGTTGGGTTTTTTGTTTGTTTTTTTGTGGTTTTGTTGTGTTTTTTTTTTAAGGTTGGACTTGATGATCTCAGAGGTCCCTTCCAACCATGGTGATTCTGTGATTCTGTTAAACTGCAGCTCCTTTTCAGAAAAAAAAAATCCTAATTTATCTGGTTCTCAGGTTTATTGCTGTTGGGTTTAAGCATCTTGTTTTTTTAGAGGAGGAGAAAATATTTAGACTGCATTTGTTCATTCACATGAATTTAAACCTAATCTGCTCCTGTTCTGAACCAACCCAGGCATAAACCAGCTGTAATTGGAAAACTTCATGTGCATGTGAGTGAGGCAGGCCCCAAACTAGTGAGAGTAAGTGTGTTAGTCTGGATGCAGCACTGAGGACCACTGGCTCATCTTAGGCAGGTGTAGTGGCTTGTTACAGTTATGCCTTGCCTCTGGTTCAGACTCAGTTAATAGTTTGTGAGGAAGACCTTGGATCTGCCTTTACTTATCCAAACAGAAATGTGCTGTCAGATAACTGCAGGGTGCTTGAAACATCTGAAATTTTTATGTGACATGGAGATTCCTCTTCATTACACTGTCTTTGGGTGGTCTTGGAGCCTCACAAAGAGAAGTTCTAAAAAGTTGCTCTAGTTTGTCTTTGGAGGAATAGCACTTGTGTAGAATGTACCTATACTGACACTTTGATAGCAGGTTTGTTTTGTTTTGATATCAGTGGTATTTTTTTCTGTTGGTTTACGTGCAATGCTAGAAATACTTCTTCTCTTTCACCTAGATTTGCAAAATCTGGTGTGCTTCTGCATTAAACTTGCAGACTCATTTCCTTGGATTCAAACACAAGACGGTAAGGTCTGGTTTTGGATGCACCTTTTGTCAGATTTTACAAATTTAATTAACAATAGAATATGGGTTTGAAATCTAATTTTTAATGTACTGTTAAAGCATGCAATTTCAGATATCTATCTAGTTTTGTTGCTTTACTATTTTGTTTACTGCAATAAGGTAGACCTTAGTTTTGTACATTAATCCTATTACAACTCTTTTTCTGGGTTAGTAAAGAAAATACATGAGAATATATGACTGTTAATAAATACAGAATGGAATTATATAAATCATGGACAATCTAGGAAAGAAGATGTATGTCGCTTTCACATTTCATGTAACTATCTACTTGATAATTTGTGGTGTTGGTGTTAGTCTAATTTATTTTATAAATAATAAAATGTTTGCACTGTATTTTTTGAATCTTAAGTGTCTTTCACTCTTCCTTGTTGACTGATGACTTGGTAACTTAGGTTGAAGAAGCACTGAAAGCTCATGGCATTGGTAAGTGCAAGATTTTTTACTTTCTATGTTCTATACATGCACATTTCTCCCCACCCCAATGTAGTTGTTTATGAAACAAACAAGAAAAATACTTTCTCAGGACTTGTTCTTTAAGACTTGTCTTGTGTTCTTTAATGACATAGTTGTCTAATCCTACAGAAATCAGCCAATAATATCAGCAAGAGGTATGCAAAGTTTATTAAAAAGTGTTAGCTACAGTGCTTCAAACCAACTACATTAAAGTTTTGAAAATCTTAATTCAAGGCCTTAGAGACTTTCAAGGTTTAAAATATGTTTTAAAAAACTATGCTTCTTAAAGCATGTAGAAGTACTTTTTTTCTGTATTTATTTTATATTTGTTTTTTAAAGAGCTTGTTGAAAATATCTTAATTAGCTGAGGGAAAGTACTTTTAATAGGTTTACTATATCATTAAACCTTCACATGGTCTTTATGAACTGGTCTAGTTCCAGAAGGATTGAAGGTATATGAACAATGAAGATATATGAACTATGTTCATAACTGTTTTCCTAGTTCCATTTCATGATGCACCAAAATGTATTTACAGGTTTCTACGGTGCATCACTCCTAGAATTTGGTTTGAAACGTCGTTCAAGTTATTCATAGTCATTGCACCTATCCAATCAGGGAATTTTTGTATGGACTGTAAAGGAAATTTAAGTGATCAACTAATTAGCAGCTGGATGTTGCTGTAATGAATGCCTTGAAATGTTTAGAGGTGAATCGGCAGACAGTCATCATGTCTTTTTATTTCTTTTTTTTTATTTATTTTATTAAAAGGATCGGTTGGCCACCGAAAACTTGATGAGTTCTAGTGACCAGAATATAATTTGTGTTATTAGTCTTTGTAGGTTTGTCTTCATAATGCTTTATTCCTTTTCTTTTACTCTTCTGATCTTTTCATTAAGATCATTTCAGAAGGTTGGTGGCAATGCAGGCAGGAATGAGCTGGCAGCTTCATCAGTTGTCAGCACAATATAGTTTGTAACTTAAAATACTCAAGAAGAGTTTGCATGAAGATTACCTCTGTAATCGAGGGATATGTGACTCTTTCAGATGCAGTAGTATACGCTGAAGCCTTCTGACTCCCACCTTCTATATAGAGTTTATTGTAAGCCTTATGCTCAACTTCTTAGCAATATCTGATGTTTTAGTAAGAGATTACTTGCAACAGGAGAGTAACAGACTTGAGGGGCATTTAAGGGACGAAAAAATTCAAATTTGCCTTTAGCTGGAGTTGTTTCAGGCACTGCTACTGCTTTATTTATTTATTTCCATGCAGTAAAATGCTGAGCTTTCTGAATTTCTGAAATCCTATTCTTGTTGTTTCCTTATAGTGAGCGCATTAAGCTCCTGTTCAAGGAACAGCAACTTGCTTCCTTGGTGTGCTTGGCATTCCACTCCCAAACACACAGAGTCTATCTCATACAGATGTCTGTCTCTCTCCAGGTTCCTCAGTAGCACACAATGTTGTGTGGTCATCTCTGTTTTACCTTTCTTAAGGTTTGGCAGCCCCAGCTGTATCACATGCCATATGTGGATAGAAAAAATATTTGACTGGGGAGAGGATAACTGCAGACCTTTTTCAAAAGACAGCAGGGTTATGGGCTGAGCCAAGTGCCCTGGCAGGCAGTGTGTGGGATGGCAGTTCAAGCACCTCAGGTTCAGAGGATTTAAACTGAATTGCTGTGACGTACAGGATTAAAGTAGCCCTGAAATTTATGAAATGAAGCTTTGTCCCTTATAGAATAAAAGCTATTTGCATTGTAGTCCATCAGTCAGGCTTTTCCATTGTTGCAGGTTGTCTTCTATATAAACTAAATTACAGCCATAATTACTTACAATTTAAACCAGTGTTTAATTGTTTAATGTTATGATGTGTGTTTGAACCCACGTTGTATGCTAAGTAATGGCTCGATTGGTCTTTCTCTCTGCCTGCTTCATTGAATTGCTTGATATTAAATAACTTTGTTTTTATTTAGTGTACAGGTTTTTTGTCCATTTCTTGCCTAAAAAAAAATTCGTAGCATATTCAAAACCAAACATAGCTTATTTTTCCTCATGTCAACAAAAAGCTCAAAGAGTTTTCTTTAAAAAATAAACAACCAAAAACATTATCATACCATATTGATTTCTGTACTTATAATTTTGTTTCCACTTCTGGTTTATTTTTTTATTTAGTTAAAACAGCAAGTGGCTCAGGGGAGCAAGTGAAAACACCTGTAAAACTTCCTGATTATGGTAAGAATGTTTAATTAAAAAAAAAAGACGAAGGAATAAAATGTTTGAGGTACAGTGTTGCAAGTGATATCTAGACCTTAGCAGGTGATTAGGAATTAAGTTCTGTTCATTGTATTTTCCACCTGCAGTAATATTTTGTAATAATACTTAAAACAATATTTGCAAACAAAATGCTATAAATAGAGTGAAAATAGAATTGGGGGGCATAATGGTTGTCAATAACTGATTTAATTTCTGATGTAGGGCCATGTATGAGCAGGGATTCACTTGAATGTGAATTTCTCAGCATATTTTCTTTAGGCCAAAGGTTAAACTCAGGAGTTTGTTTCATATTGGAGGGCTTTTAGAATATGACTTGATATGGATGATATGGGATTACATAAAATTGATGTTATCTTACAGTGCAAACTGAGCCAGAGAGGTTTCATGGACAGACCTTGGAAGAACAACTTAATACATGTAAAGATTCAGAACCTGCACTTGGTGAGGGCTTTTAATGCTCTAATTGTTTACTTGTGTGGTGTTTACCTTTAAAGAGAATTGATTAATTTTTTAAAATGTAAAATTAGGTAATACGTAATAAAATCTTACTATGTTTACACTGAATACTCAGTAGTATGGTATGAAAGTGACTGGTCTTAGTGTCAAAATCATTAGATTTGGCCTGAAATCTTTTTGATAAGGCTGGATACCACATGTTGAGAATATTCTCTAGAAACAATCTAAGGGGGTATGACACAAATGAACTTAAACGATCATTGCTATTCTTTGTAATTTAACTGCGCATCCTGTGGAGGGAAGGGAGAGTGGAGTGGCCAGGAGAATAACTACAGGGGCACATGTTAAAATACGTTCCTTTCTAAATAGTTACAAAATAATTGTTGCTATTTCTTTTTAGATGATTTTTTAAAATAAAATTCTTAAGTCCTATGTGGTAAACATAAGGCATCGCAAAACCACTCAGTTTTGTACCACTGGTGTTGAGGAAGTCTAGACACCCAAAAGATAAAAGTTAATTATGGTTCTAAAAATCTTGATTCACATGTTCAGCATGTGGTAGCAATCATTTCTTTTACTGTCTCTTTTGTAACTTGCACTGATTATTTGTTCCAGCAAACATCAAATTTCCTAACTTTTTTTTTATTAATACAGGACTTAATTATATAGTTGAATACCGATCAAAAGACAATCTCCCTTTTCTCTATGAATGTCAACTGTGTCACTGTAAAACAGGACTGAGTAACATGTTCATGCATGTTTGTGGTTCCAAGCATAGACTGGCATACCTGGTAAGTTTTTAGAGTAAAGGTTTTTTTGGGTTTTTTTGTATGTAATGATTTAAATAGAGTATTTGCTGGTTGTATTATGAATTTTTAAAAAAAATAACTTTGATAAATGGATTTAAAATTCTTCTCATCAATCAGGTGTATGCCTGTCCACTGCAGACACTCATTTTTCAGTTTATTCTGTTTTGTTTGACCGGTAATACCTATAATAAAATATACAGATAAAATTGGCTAAAAGTAGGTTTTTGACTAAAGTTTGTATTATCTTAAAGAACTGGATCAATGAAGAAATTGTTCCATCTTTCAGATGCTTTATATTAAAAAGAACACAATTATAAATGAACATGGTATGTATTGGATAGAGGCTGTGAATTGGAATTGGGGAAAAAATCTATTCCAAGTTTTGTGGCTGGACAAGCCATGTAAGTTCTGTGCCTGTTTTATGGAAATTTGCAAAGCTCTTAAGGCTTCATGTTGGCCCATAACTGCTTAAACACATTTTTTTTCAGTATGTTTAGAGACATAAGACTGTCCAATCTTTGAATGTTTACTTGAATATATTTGTTTAGGGCAGGCTTTAACAAAACGGAGAGAGAAATACTCTGAAAAGTATTTTGATATGTGCTCAAAGTCGGTACTATATTCCATGTATCTTAAAGTCATAGAAAGTTGAGTCCATATAGTGTTTTGAGGCAGTTTTAGAGCTAATGTTGTTATCAGGTATACTGCGATGGATCCACAATGATGTCCTTTGTAAACATCATGCTGTTTGTGGTCATTAATTCAGATGTATATGCTGAGTTTTGATGTTCTCAGATCTTGTATTTCTTGTTTAATTTGAACTGTTTTCTGCAATTCTGGATCTTATGCTTGTTAACTGAATCTCTGCTATATTCTTAATGTAATAATTCATCAATGATAGCTTTTAAGTTGTGCACCTAGGATGGATTAACCCTAGGCAGTAGGAAAGGCGGGAGACTACAAGGCTGAAATTTGCTCTGCTGAAAAGGAGCTGGGGCGCCTGGTCGATAACAAGCTAAAGATGAGTGGTGTACCTTGGCATCAGTGAAGGATAACAGCAAACTGAGCTATAGTGGCAAGGGTATGGCCAATAGATCAAAGGAAGTGATTATTCCTCTGTTCTTCATACTTGTTAGGCCATATCTAGAGTATCCCATCCGGTTTTGTGCTACTGCAGGCAAGAAAGCTATTGATGAAATTGTCCAGTGGAGAGCTGCCAAGATGGTCAGGGGGCTGAAGAGCTTGCACTGTGAGGAGAGGCTAAGGTAATTGGGCTTGTTCAGGCTGGAGAAGAAAAAGTGTCAGGGGGATCTAGTAGTAGCCCTCTGATACCTCAGGGGAGGTTACTAAGAAGGCAGAATCAGGCTCTTTATGGAGGTGGCTGGCAGGAACATAAATTCAAACAGGGTCCTGCTTGACCTAAGGAAGATGTTTTTCACTGTGAGAGTAGTCAAGCATTGGAGCAGGTTGCCCAGAGAGATGGGGGAATCTATTAGAGTTTTTTAAGACCCAAGTGAGCAAAGCCCTGTGCAACCAGTTCAGCGTTCACTGTTAGCCCTGTTTAGAGCAGAAGATTTGCCTTCAGTCCCCTAAATTATTTTGTGATTCTGTACATAATCATTTTAATAAGTTCTGCTTTGTATATGTAAAAGTTGATTTATCTCCCGTAATGAATTGTGCTGTGTTAAATCTGGAAAGAGTAGGACAAAGTGTGACTTGGGGATTTGCATTTCCTTATTTTCTAGAAACAGCATTATCCTGAGATAGCAGAATCTGATGAAGTTAAGGGTAAAGGCTCTGAACTGAACAGAAAAGTTAGGCAAGTTGCATTAACAATTGAGAAGAAAGAAGGAAGAAAACAAATAAAGGTACATTTCTTTAAGAATTCTATATGTTTTGTATTTATTAAAAAAAACAAAGTAAATGATTTCTGTTATGGTGGACAGATCTGCTTTGGATGGTAGGAAATTCTTGCTTTTTTAACCTTTATTACAAGCACTTTTTGTCATCTTAAGAATTCTTCCAGGATTAGTCTGGACACAGTTTCCCATTGGTTGCTCCCATCTTAAGTATTTCTCATTTGAAATAATACTCATGCTACCTGAGTCTACAGAAATATGATTCTAGAATGCAAAAATGATACAAAATCAACGTTCATCTGGGTGGATGTGTTTGTGTGTAAAATAACTTGTTTCATTCTTGCTAGGAAATTACCTTTATGACTTTTCTGAATTAGTCTCTGCGTTGTTAGTACCTTGTGGCAATTCTTGGAGGAGCCATGGAAAAATTCTGGTAGTACAGAGGGAAATTTGGGATATGTGGTGGATATGAGGTTCTCAGCAATGCCATGGGACCGCAGGAGCACCATGAGCCTAAATTCTTGGGGAACTGCATGTTCTTATAGCATGCTTAGAAGCACGTTCTTATAAAGATACCTTCATGTTGCTTTCTGTTGATGTTTACACTACAACAGTATTTAGACACGTTTACGATCTGGGCAGGATATTGGCAAAGTTTCTTCTTGAGGTGTACCTTACCACTCTGATTCATGACAAGCTTAGTCAGGTGCTTAGTGTTCTTTATGGTGTACATTAAATTTGCTTTCTCCATCAATTTCAATGTCTGTCAACATCCTGCTTGTTAAAACAGTGTTTCTTGGCAATATCTCTTGCCGGTGCTACTTAATGTGCATAGGCTATGTCTGATTTCAAAGTGGAGTTCACAATGTTACCGTGTTGAAGTTTCTGCCCATCTGAAAAAAGCCCCCTGTTTGTTTCTGTGTGATGGTAGGCTCAAGGATGAGAGCCTGTACTGATCCTACTCTTCTTTGACTAAGAAAAAAGGTATGGGAATATTGGAAGATCAAGACTTTCTTCTAGAATGAATGCTCTAGAAGGGAGAGATTTCAGATCATCAAATTCATTCTTTTGACCTACTTAACTAATTCAGATTTCTTCTTGACTCAAGACTGTATACTTTACTTGAGATTTATGTTCATGGATGTAGTATCTATATATTTTGTAGACTGTTCTAGGAAATTTCACTACACTTATAGCAAATCCGTTCTCGATTTAAGGAACTTTTAAATAGAGCATGCATAGCCTGGTTTAATTTTGCTGCTCCATTTCCTGCAATCAGCTATTTGATTGGTCTTTTAGCTCTAACAAAAATTTAATTGTGATAAATGAGTGTCCAGGTAACTGACTTACTGATTTTGAATTCAGGGATTTACATGTATGTGTTTAATACTACTTGTCATATGTCCTTAAAAAAATAAATATTTAACTCTTGAGATACCTATGAAATAATTTTATCCTCAAAATACCTAACATAAATGGGTTTTATTTTTAGGTTGTTAGAGGTGCTCCAGTAATGAGGAGAAGATGGCAAGAATGTAAGTGTGTTGTGGGATGCAAAGTGTATATTTTTAATTTGGGTAAACTCCCTTTGATCTAAATCAGCTTGATTTAAGGGCAAATTGAAAAAAAATGGACAGTAATTGTAGTGTGTTCATATGTACGAAGCTGCATTTTGTATGATTTTATGTTGAAAATGTGATGGATGAACAAGTTATTCCATGGGTGACATAACTAGAGACTTGTTTTATATGGCTTTGTTCTCTCGCTCTCTTGCTGTCCCAGTCCCCCTCCCTTCCCAGGATCCTTTACCTATGATTTCTTTTTACCTGGTAACTGCTGTAGTCACTGCAGTGCCAACTACTCACGAGCATTCTGGTGAACTGGGCAAAAGGAGCAGGTTGGAGCTCCATGCATGTATTTAATTTGCAGTCCAGAAAGCCAGACAGAATTCTTAAAGCACAGCTATAGCTCTTATCTGTGGAAGAAAACTTTCTGGTTTACTAGCCATTGATACAAAACTGTAGGAATGTGGTGTCTATGAGACTTTTCCACGCAGTTCTATCTTTCAAAACTAACTGTAGTACAACGTCATCCAGATGGACAGACAGTACAATTGCATGCCACTTTAGAAAATGGCTAAAAACTGATCTATGTTAGCGGTGTCTCATACTCTGAAGAGGAAGGATAACCATTTTGAATCTAGGAAAGTGTTTTGAAATAAGTTGAATCCTATTCAAATTTTCTTGACTGTAACCAATTTATTGGTTAGTGTATCTAATTTTGCATGTGACTATGTGGAATTCTACTGTATTTATAATATTTTCATCTTTTAAAAGGTCTATGCTTGTAATTATAACCAGCGTATAAAATACTTAAGATTTTGTTATTAATTTGTGGTTCATATTTAATCTGCTGTCATATAATAATGCTTATAAAATTATTCTTAATGTTTGTAACTAATAGTGCACAGATACAGAGCTAGTTGAAATTGAAGTGCAATTTTAGAACCCTCCTCTATCAAGATAATGTCCGTTGTGCTACATTTCAAGCATGTTTGTTTAGATCCTACTGCAGATGACAGCCCTTCAAAAGCTAAAATTCAGCACGTGGATACGACACTTAGTAATGATGAAAAAACAGATTGTAAAAATAAGGATGGAAAAATGCCAGACTCTATTCAAGGTAAAAGAAAAATGATTTTTTTAATTAGATTTTTTTTTTAACTTTCACCAATGCATGAATTTACTTACTTTGTATGCGCCTGTTTATACAAACAGGGGTAAATTTCCACAGAGGGTGAATTTCCACAGTGCGTGGATGAGTTTGGGGTTTGTGGCAGAGGAAAGATAATCCCAGAGTTCGCGAAGAAAACTGTCCCATTTCGCTTAACGTCACCGGATACTTCAGAACAGAAACAAGACAAAATTCATAATTAGAAGTTTTTGCTATGTGCATTTTTGGGGGAAGGAACACAGACTCTTTTTGGGCATATAAGCCTTCTTCGGTGTCAGGAAAAAAAATGGGAACAGCTGCCTGCATGACTTTGTTTAGAGCACACGAAGAATAAAAAGGAAATAGATAGGTTAGATTTTTTTTTTTTTAACAACATCTACAATATTGGACTAATGCTTATTTTCTTGAAAACACTGCCAGAATTAAATCTAAAAATCAGTGAACACCACGTAACTGAAGTATTATTAGAAATTTCTGCTGCTTGGTTGTAGACCTAAAGTCAAAGATGAAATTGGGGTTTTGTCTAAATGCATTATAATTATTCTAATTCAGAATATTTCTGAGCAGAAATACAAACTTGTGCTTCATGGCTGAACCAAATCTTTGATTTTTAGATACAGTTTTTATTTTATTTCTACAGAAGGTACTTTATTTACACAGTCAGGTTTTATTGATGCTATATTTTTTAAAAAAAATCTAAGCAAAGAATACTTTTAAATTAAAGTATCAGAAACCCATTACTAAATATACTGGTTTTATTGTTTTAGATGAAAAGAATGTTCAAGAGGAGCAGGAAAAAGGTCAGAAAGAACAGGCAAAACCAGATGACAAGGCTGAACCTAATAAGGCTATTGAAAGCAACAAAAGCAACAAGACTGAAGGCGGCAGCAAAGACAACAACTCAGAAAAGTAAAACAAACAAGGAAAATCCACCACTCCCAAACCCCTTTAAATTTACTCAAAGGAAAATGTTGTAGATGCTAACTGTCTACATTTGCTGTGCATAGAGTATGCTGTGAGAAAGAAAGGCATGCTATGATAGTGAAATGCTTCTCTTCTGAAATTGTGCTCAACTGTAAACTACTCTCATCAGCAGGAAACCTGGTGTGTGTAAAGTGACCTCACATTTTGCTCTAGATGCAACTAGTTTTTATATTTGTGTTATCCTTAAGGCATAATCCTCACGTATTACAACTTCAACAAGAATGTTCCCTCATGGTTTAAAAAAACTTCTGTTATGGGTTCACGTCAGACAGTTAGGGTGAACTGATATGAACTGATTTTAGAAAGAAAAGTTAATCAAAAAGTTAAGCTGTACCAATTGGGGTTCATCTCTACAAAAGATTTCATGGAGAAACAATAAGAAGTATTGTGTGGGGTTCTTAAATGGTAAAACTGTGCTTGCTGTTTGTAAACATCTTTATTAATAACAGTATTGTTGAGTTTAGTTTGAACTATCAGCCTTTGTGTGAGGGGGATATCTCCAACATTAATCATCTTTGTGCAACACTAGGAACCACAGGAAAGGATTTGATAAGGGATATACACACATCAACCCAAACATTAAGACTCGGTTCTAACAATTAGTTCTTTGGTTTTGCTCTAATGACATTCTCTTGGAATGTTTCTTAGTTTTAAACCAGTATCTCTCCTAGACACAGAGGGCTAATGCCTTTTGCTTGTTTACTATTAACCAGTAAAAGGGGAATTTTCTTGTTCCTGACATACCTTTTTGCATGAATTTTGCCTCTCTAGGGGCAATCATTAAGGAGAAAGACTAATTGAAACCTTTGGAAAATCACTTATTGTTGTTCTTTTAATCCAGTTGTTCAGAGAGATCCTGGGTAACTGTCAGCAGCCATGTTTTTCAGCGAGAGACTGATTTAGAAGTTAAGTTTCTAAGTTAGGACTTCAGTTTGTTCCTTTACTGCTTATTTTTGTGAGACTTCTGAGAGATGTAAACTCAACTTCTGTGAATAAGATCAGATTCTCATTGACAGCAAGCAGTCAAATAATGTTTTCACATGATTATGATGATGATGATCTCAAATGATGATTCTGCAGTATCAGTTTGAGAATTTTTATTTCTATATATCCTAATTTCTTTGTAGTGAAGTTCTGCACAGACAGTCATCTGAAGATGTAAATTATTTTATTTTAAAAAGTTAAAGGTATCATCTGGTTTTACTACACTTCTGATTCCTAAGAAAGACGAGGGCTTTGGCTTGGCAGTCATATGGTTTTGGTTAATTAAAAAAAAACAGGCTCTCTCAGCCCTGGTCCCTGGGCTTGCAAAGGGATGGAATATACCTATAGTAGTTATAGTGGCAGAACAGTACAAATATGGCTTAGTAGTTTTTAGCCACATGAATTTTTGTACACCCAATATCTCTGTTGCTATGTGGTAAAATACTTTTTATAGCTGAATTTTTGTAAAGACAAGTTTGTGAGGTGCTGATAAAAAATCTTGCTGTAATTAGGGTCCTTGTCTCTCTGCAATGCATGCAAAAAGCTTACAGCTTTTCCTACAAATGTCAAACTTTTTTCTGAATTCTGGGGTTTAGAACTTACATACTAGCTAATCACACTAAAAAAACCCTCATTAATAATTTTTACGATGATATCTGAGACCACTCGGATTTCTTCAAGGAAATAATATGTGAACTGTCAGAATGTATCAAACCTACTGTAGTAGGAATTTAAACTGATTACGAGTTATTGACTGGCTACACATTTTGATATATCAACCAACTGTGTATACTGCTTTATTTGTTTATTTATTCATTTATTCTATCTTAAGGTGTGATACTAATAAGGAATCACAGGAAGACAACAAGGAAGTTGAGGTGAATATTTTTCCGTTAATGAATTGCTCCAGTTACAAGCAGTTAGGGAAATAATTACTTTCATATATGATTGGCAATGGTGTTTGCTTTTTCTTATTCAAATTAATAATATTATTGACAATAAATTAGCTACAAGTTCTGAAGCAAAACTATTAAGAACAAGTTTTTTTCCTACTTCGCCATGAAAGCACATGTATGTGTTTTATGCAGCCACCCACAATTTAATTAGAGCAAGAATCTAGAATAACCATAATAATAATCACTGTTTAATTTTAGTTATAATTACTGCACATAATAGATCTCTGGACTTTTTTTTTTTCATATTAAACAGCAAGAATTCACTAGTCAAGAAGAACTGTTGGGTTATTTGGTGAGTGTTAAATCTTATTTGCAATGTAATTTTTGGGGAAACGAAATAAATTAATGGAATTACTAAGTTCAAAAAGTAGCAAATAACATGAAAGCCAAAATGTAGGCAATCTGCTGAACTAACAACATATTTTATCAGAAGTTAGGATTCAGAATGAAATTAATATCACTGAATTTATAATATATGCATACATTCTGTGTATTGGAGATTAGGAGAGGGTTCTTTACTGTGAGGGTAGTGGAACACTGGAACAGGTTGCCCAGGGAGGTGGTTGAGGCCCCTTCCCTGGAGATATTCAAGGTGAGACTCGATAAGGCCCTGGGCAACCTGGTCTAGTTGGGGGTGTCCCTGCTGACTGCGGGGAGGTCGGACTAGATGACCTTTGGAGGTCCCTTCCAGCCCGGGCAATTCTATGATTCTAATGTTTCTAGCCAGGTTTTTTTTACCAAAGTACTGGTTTACTATCAGAGGAATGACTTTCATTGAAAATTAATGCATTTTTCTCAACTGTAGCTTAATTCCATTCCTGAATTGCATGCCTAGCTAAAATGACCTTTTAAATTTTTTTTCTTTTATAATTGATCTGTCATTTTTAAATGAGGAATTTCATAATTCAATAATGGAAGGGAGCAGAATGAAGAAAAATATCTGAGGTATGCAGAAAGGAAAAGAGCAATTTTTAAGAAATAAAATACAAGTTGTATACTGAAACAAAAAATCCCCAAGGCCCTATAAACTAAAAAAAATCTACTTAATCCCTTTTTAAAGTAATGGCAGCACACCTGAGTTCTGTTCAGTTGTTCAAAATATATATTACGAACACATTCACAGCAGAGATGCAATCAAGGATGAGAAACTAGCAGTTGCTAGTTGTTATTTATTAACAACAATATTTATTAACGTTTGTGGTCTTGTATACAGAAGTGGTGACTTTTTAGAAGCCTCAGTAGACAAACTGTACAAAAATCTTTACCATTACTTGCTGTGACTCAGCTACTGCATGGTGATTTAGGCACTATTGACTATCATAAAATCTTTTTTCCCCTTTTTAATAGGGAATTATTAGGTATAAAGATTGTATCTTGCTAATAAAACTTGAATTTGTTTTGAGGCATCCTCTTGCTTAGTACGATTGTCCTCCAAGAACAAAAGAGGACTGCTGGGAATGGGATTGGAACAGTGATCTGTTTTGGAAAGTTTGAAAATTGTTTAATATTAGCATCTACAGTAATATTTTTTTTAAAGCTGCATTATGTGTTTCTATTGTTGTTGGATTCCAAGGTTTTTTTACATAGTGGAAAGTAATTTTATAAGTATCTTTTTTTGGATGTGCTGTTCCTATCATGGAATAATTCCAGTTGTTCAATGATTATCCATGCTTTATACTTTTTTTTTTAATTGTGAAAATCAGTATGGTCAGCTTTGGCATTAAAATAATTATATTTCTTTTATTACCTGATATCCAGAGCTATTCCAAGTTTAATCCTCTTTTTCTACCTAGATTTTCACAAGATCTTCTTTAAATATACCTTGTGCAAACTGGACTTAATCCTATTATACTGCCACATATGAACTTAATGCTAGTATTTTATTACTTTTTTCCATTTTTTCCATTCCATTGTCTGGAATGTTTAAAGGTGTTTATTTCTAACCCAGAAGACTTTGAATTGTTGGGACAGAGCAGCAGTTCTGTTACATTGTGCGCAGTGGAAGCGTTTTCAGCACAACTTTATTGGAACAGACAAGGGGGTGATGCTTGTAGCCCCCTCTGTGAGGGCTGTTGGTGCTAGAACTTGCTCTCTTACTAGAGCTTCAGAGTTTCAAAGACTGCTTTTTCCTTAGACTTCTTTTGGGAAGAAGAAGGTTAATATAAGGCAAGGTGGCATATATTTTTAAATTCAGCATTGTTCTGGCTTTTTGCTGCTTTCTAGAGAAATGGTTTATGACTACATTGTCTCAGGGAAGTTGTACCCATTTGTTTGTGTGCAGGTATCTTGGGAAGACATCAAAATACTTAAGGAAAAACACTTTCCTGTATGTATTTCCAGGCATATTCTTGCGTTGTTCCTTTTCAAAGGATTGTTTTGGGTAGCTGCAGCTTCCTTGTGTTAGGTTCCTCTTCAATTCCACCTCCCCACCCCCAGTTTATGGGATTAAAAGTAAAAACTGTATTTTCTTTGTAACTTCAGCCATGTTTCAGAGAGAAAATGTTTATGTTGTGTGTTGTTTTGTTTTTTCCTAGCAAAGTTTTGAGATACTGAATGAAGATGATGCTTCATTTATCCTAAAAGTTACACAGACTCTTACAGATGCACTGGTGGAATATCGTCAGCAGGCTGCATCAAACAAAGTAATGTGGATTTTGTGATGGTTTTGTTCTACTAATCTGCACGTTCCTGTGATGATGCGTTTTTATTATTACAGTTTCATTAAACTGCAATACATTTTTATTTTTTCAGTTTAATTAAACAAAATTGCTGGGACAACTGTATTGTAAGTTTTGCCTATTAAAAACTTGAATTTTTGGAGCGATGATAGGATAAAATTACAGCTTGTTTGTTGTTAATACTTTCTGTTCAAAGATGCTTGCGTTTTTGTTTTTTTAATAGCAACTAAGAATCATCTTGTTTCTTATTTCCCATGCTTTTCCTTACATCTAGGTTTTTCTGCTATTTTTGCCCCTTTTCAATTCTAACTTAAGCTTTTCTCATCTCTGCTGACCTCTCTGAGACTCTTGTTCTGTATCCCATTTCCATTCTCAGCCTTCATTCACCATATAATCAAGCATTATTGACATCAGTTTCCTTACTTATACAACTTTTCGTCCTGCTCTTTGGATTGTTCCCTTTGAGGTCTCTTTTCTTCCTCCACTATTAGAAACCCAGTTTTTCCACCTCTCTGCTATTACTTTTGACTGACTTGTCTTTACACAGGCATAGTATTGAGGAGAACTTCTTCAAGGCTGCTGTGGTTGCCACTTGCATTCCCTGTACCTTGAGTTTACATTCCGTTATACCATAATCTCCACAGTTTCCACTACTGGAATGACTTTTTGTTCATTCCCCCATTGTCAACAGGGATGGTAGGAACTTTCCTCTTGTTGGTGATCCATTCAACATCTTTGCCATAGGAAAGCATGCCAGTATTTATTCCTTATCCCTCCTGGAGTTTCTTGCAGGATTGTCAGTGCTGAACAGACTTCTCATGCAGCACAACAGCTACTCCTACTACTATAGCTACTTAACTACTTTTTTATTTAAAGAGTCAGCTTAAATGGAAAATGCCAAATGAGGGTAAATACCAGCCAACAAGCTGGAGAGAATCACAGAGGTGACACTTCAAGAAAAAATGTTTTGTTTTCCTTCTGTCTTCAAAAACCCTTCTTCATTCCAGACTTCATTAGCTATATTCCATCTTCCCTCTATTGCTTTCTTTCTGCCCCAAAGGCAGTACTTTTCCATAATAAATTCCATGCCTTGAGTTCTCATTAATTATTTATTGCTTTTCACTTCCTCGTTAAGCTTACTTTCACCTTATTCCTGCTGGTTTTTTCCATACAGAATTTTGTTATTTTATTCAAATGGAAAGAGGGCAAAATCTGACATGTTACAAAAAAATTCAAGCTGTAACTGAAGTAACTTCTAACCTACTGGTTTTAGAAAAATAGAATGTTTTCCTAAGTTAGGGTTTTTTAGTATTCTAAATTGCGATCTTTCAAATGGTAATTTTTAACTAAATCTTTTACTCAAAGTGTAAAATGCTTCCTTTTTAGACCTGATAGGTTGAGAATTAGGCTCTATAAGTATCACTTCTTGGCCTAATACAGTGCTTTTCAAATGTAGAGAGGTACCAGGAGCAGCATATACATACATAGAAATTCACTACCAGCTGCATGATTTTCAAAGAAATCCTTGATTTTTCAGATTTGGTAGCAGAAATACTGGTCGTTTATTTGGTTTGGGATCATCAAAAATGTAGTAGTTCGTAATTTCAGGAGATTGTCTTGATGAAATTCTGAACACAACTTTTTTCAAACTTGTAGGACCTCTTAGATACTGAATATAATGGAGAAGCAATATTGGAATATTCCACAGAACAGTCTGACCTGACTTCAGCAGATATTAGTGACTCTGATACAGGTAATATTACCTTTGCAATCTTGATTGTGCTTAAATCTTAATACTGAACCTTGCGTAAATTTTAGTAAGCCTTTTTTTCCTGCTTCTCTGAAAGCAGAGCTTAAGAAAAAATAAATCCAGGGTCAAGTAGCATAAATTAATAGTTTGGGGGTTTCTTTCTATCCTCTACAAATGTTAGAAAGGGCAGACTATTCAAAAACATTCATCTTACTTAACTGTAGGATTTGGGGAGGAATTGAATTAGTATCAACTCTGACTTTTTCCTGTCCAGAGGCAACTGTTTCTAAGGAGGATTTCAAAGTTTAAGGCTGCCCTCCCTCCCCCTATTTCCCCATTTCTTTCCCCTCTTGGTAGACAAGAGGATTAGTGCAGGTGTAGTCTAATCAAGATGTTGGTGGAAACAAAATTATGTTGTATACGATGGATAATTCTTTTTAATACCCAAACATTGCAGCTACTTGACCTTGGTACTTCTAATTAATTTTATCAAAGAATCTTGGATTTCTTTGACGTCATTTCCTTCTTGATATGCTTGGAGAGGCAATATAACCAGAATACTAGTGATGCTATCTTGTATGATTTTTATTATTTTTCTGTGCTGTGTCAATTTTCCTTTTCTTTCTAGGAAGTTTAGCTTTTGAAAACCTCAATTAATACAATGCTAATAACAAAAATTGCAATGACTTACAATATATGAGACTTGGGACTTCCAGTGCCCTTTTGTAAGCATAATAAAAATAGCTTTCATCCACCTCCCCACTGTTGTTTCTACAGGATTTTCTGTAAATGGAAAGCATTCTGGATTCTCAGTTGTATGAAAATGTAGCAAAGTCAGATGTGAACCTTACCAGCAATGCTGCTCTGCCAGACTGGAAATCTTTGTTTTGAAAAGCCCTATTTAGAGAAGTAGGTAGTGAAGACTCAATAGAATTTTCTCTCACTGAAAAACACTATTTCTCTTCTTTAAGACTATTCAAGCAACCGGTCGGCTAAGCAGTCCTTATCAGTAAATGAAGAAGATGAACCCCAAAACTTTTCAACTGGTTCTTCGGAAGCAGCATATGAGAACAACATCACTGCTGAATTTTTGAACAGTGTGAGAAATATGAATGTTGAGGAAGTTACTGCTACTCTACACAAAATAGCAGCAGCAAATCCAGCTTTCAGAGGTAATTCATGTATACATGCATACACACGCACAAACACGCATATAAAAATATACATAATTTTGTTAGCTCTATGAAATATGAAGGACTATACGGGTCAAAGAACTTTGAGGTATTAAGGAGTGCTGAAAAGACCCCCCCCCCCCCCTTAACTTTTGCAAGATCCAGTTCAGGAACAGTAATTCTTTTTAAATTCGGTTCTCATTTGTGCATAGTAACATTTACATGGTGAGAGATAGATAACTAAAATCAAGCATAGATAGATAGAAAAAAGCAGAATCTCTTGTCTGTGATATAAGGGGTGAAACGCTGCTTTTGGGAATGCCAACAGCAAAGAGATTTTTACTTAGTGATTGCTGAAGGAACTGTACTTGCACAGTAACATAGAAATAATAATGAATCAGAGACAAGTAATCTTTCTTTTGCTTACGAGTTTCTTATAACGTTCAGGTACTAAACCTTCCCACATCTCTAGTCAACTGCTGCCCTTTTATTCAGAAGCTTCCTGTGTACATTTCTAAGCTTCTCAGAGTGTGTTTAGGATCATGAGGGTAAAAAAAATCCAAAACACTGAAGATGAGTACATAGTAGAGAAGCTTAAGGTATTCTTTGCCTGAGTGCTCACTGTAGAACTGGAGAGACTGCAATCCATGCCATAACCTTGGGATTATGCCATAATCCTTGGGCATGTTTGTCTGCACAGGACTGGGCAGAGTAACTGTTTGGGGTGGAAGTTCTGGAACAACATATAACAATTTGCTATTTTCATGGTTTTCACTCTTCCATGATTATCACCAGATCCTAGGGACCTCCAGAACAAAGTGGTTAAGTTACTGATAGTAGTGGTTTCTCCCATAAAGCTTCTTTTAGAACCTGAAAATTTGTGAGTGGCAAATGTGGTTCTCTTTTATGCGTATTTCTCTTTTTTTAAGGTTTTGTTGTGTGTTGAACACATCTGCTTTCTCACTGCCTCCTCCTCCTCCCCCCCCCTCCACAGCTGACAGGGAAGAGAATAGGAAGAACAAAAGTGAGAAAACTCGTGGGTCATGATAAAGACAGTTTAATAAGTGAAGGGAAAGGGTGGGGGGGAACAAGTGATGGAAAGAGAATCGCTCGGCACTTCCCACAAGCAGACTGATGCCTAGCCAGTCTCCAGGAGACAGCCACCCCCTTGCTTCCACAGTTTTTATTGCTGAGCATGATGTATGGAATATCCCTTCGGGCAGTTTGGGTCAGCTGTCCCAGCTGTGTCCCTTACCAGTCTTTTTCTCTTCCCCTGCCTAATCTCTGTGAGGGTGCAGTGTGGGAAAGAGAGAAGTCCTTGGAGCTGTGCAAGCACCCCTTGGCAACAGCCAAAACACTGCTGTGTTATCAACACTGTTTTGGCCACTGTTTTGGCTAATGAAAAGTTTGTCATATCAGACTTGGAACTTTTCCTGAGCTGAAGATGATCAGAGATTGGGAGAACACAGTGTTCCCACGTGCCAGCACGTATCGGGCACACTTGCCCTGCCCTTATTCTTCCCTTATGGGTGCCAAATGCTTATTATTACCACTTAAGCTGTCCCTGTGCTTCTTCTACTTCTCCTCTCCCCCTCCTAAAGTTATAGACATTAGTTCCATTAAAGCAACATGGCTTTCTTGCTTGTGTTCAGAAGAGGACACTTTGACTTACTGTTACAGTGATAAAATCAAACACTTCTGGTCATGCTTTCCTAATTATCAGCGACAGGTCTTTGAAAGTCAGAGATAGTAGAGGGGCAAGACAGAACTTTTAACTGAACCAGTACAGCTGTTCACAGCAATATACAGTTATAGTTTCCAGGCACATCCTGATTATTAACAGTTATGGTATTTTTCATTTAATAAGAAGGATCCAAACTCATGTCAGCATCTAAATGTTTCAGTATAATTTGTGCTTTTAAATGTACTCTATCATGAAACCACTTATTTTCTCTGTTTGTTTGCCTTTAACTAAGGAATTGATATTCCGAATGTTATAAGGATCCTGACTGAAAGTGGAACTCTGAGAAGACCAAGCAACAGCAGCACACAGTGACACGGGAGTTAATAAAGCTAATATAGCAATGTTTACTTTCTGTAAGTTTGAAATTTCTGTTTTACGTAATATGAACTGAGTGTAGATGATTATGCTATGTTTGAATTTTGTACAGTGTTATTTTAATTAAATTAATAACTTGGTTTTGAGATTCTTGTTATTTATTTCTCCAATTAGCCAAAATGTCTATATTTGTTGAAAGGTTGTAAAGCTCATGTTCTTTCTTTCCATGTTAAAACATACTTTTAAAACAGGTAACTGTTGTTCTTCTCACTATCATTAAATACTGTACATTGACAGTCTGATATTATTGTTGGCTCTTTTACAAAGAGTTACCAGCAGAAGAAACTACTGCAGTCAGCAGTACAAATTCATCCTACAACCTATACTTGGAACTTATTCCCTGTGGGCCTGACTCAAAAGCTTTTGTAATCAGAAATCCACTCCCATATAAGGATTATGAATAGGTCTCCATATATTTTTTTTAAAATAAAGATTAAAAATAATGATAAAAAGTCAGTGCTGTCAGTCTAGTTCTGAGTTGAGAAGTGCCTGGATTATAGCCAATTTAGAAAGCCTAGATAATTGGAAGCTGTAGCAAAGTCAACAGAGGCTGGCTTTGCTTCGAAATTCAGAGGTATGTCCCAAGAGATCTAACCAGGCTATGGTTAGGGTAACAAAAGGATCTTTTTGTCTTCTCTTATCCCACCAGTATGAGAATGAAATGGGAGCTGGTTTATACTGTCCTTATAACGTGAACTTTCTTCCAACTAAAGTAGTAGTGGTTCTGACTGAATGTAAGGTCTATATATTAATGACCACTACTTTTACAGGATGATGAAAAATGTTTTGGATGGTTATAAGTTAGTGTGCTTGGGGAAAAAAAAAATAAATTAAATTGTGTAATTAAAATTTGCTTCCTGCTTCTGATGTTGGGTAGCATTCAGTGGTTCTAATTAAAGCTCTTCAGCTTTGCAGCCAAATGCTGGTATAATATAGACATGCTGGGGCCAGATGGTAAACGAACCTTTTAATGTTAACTTACATTTTTTTGGAGATCTGGATGGAATTGAGAATCCTCATCCTGGTGGTTTCACATCTTCATATCATGGAATGCAAGACGCCGTAAAAATAAGGTAATAAAGAAAGCAGCAACAAAATTGGTTAGTTCTGTTCTATGAACAGACACACAGGAATGAAAACAGTTCAATGACAGTTAAAGAAATTAAAACAAAACCTGCTGCTTTAAAGAAATTGTGAAGAATTTCTACAGTATCTCTAAATATGTTCTTGTCAGAAGCAGAATGGAACCAGAGCTATTACAGCTCATACAACTCTATAATAGGGACAATGTTAATGCCTGCTTAGTGAAGATGAACTTGTTCAGTAAAAACATCTTTTAGTTGATATGAAATTCTGAATTCTTTTCCTGTAATACCGAAAATAAAAACAAACATTATTTTGTTTATTTGTTTTCAAAGTACTGAACATTCTATTAATTAAAATTATAAACTCAGAATGTTCAGCTGTTGTAAATGGCCATCTCTGGGACAGCTTCTTTTCTTCTCTTACTCATTCCTCTATAAATAAAGTTACAATTAAGTTGAAATTACTTGGATTTCAGTATTTTTTTCCTTGGGTGCAGGAGGATCATGCTGGAAATGGACAGACCTCTGAATCTGTAGTACACTGATATAAAATGGTTTGAATGGTATGCTGCAGAGTGCTGCTGCACTTGTCAAAGACAGCTGAGAAAACTGAACTGCACAAAAATCATAAAGTGTATGCTACTGGAAATGTTTTTTGAGAACATGGCCTAGCATCGTCTATTTCTATTCAGTTATACGATTCTTTTCCCCTTAAAACTTTTTTTTTTCCTGGTGCAAACAGAAGCTGGAAAATAATTATATTATTTTCTTCTAGTATCTGCCTGTGTTTTGTGGTGGCTTGGTATATTCTTATACTAATGCAAAATTGTGTTTGTTCCGAAACAGTTTTTAAGGATAATATCTTGTGCCAGCATTGCAAAGTAAGGAAAAAGGGCATTTTCTTTCCTAATGATGCTTAAGCAATGTTGCTGACTGTATTCAGTATTATACACTTTGCTTTTTATTTTTTTTCCTTGCAGTAACAGCAAACCAGACATCTAGGGTAACTGGAGAATTAATAGAATCAAAACTTAAGCAACAGGAATCAATATCTAACCAAAAAAAAAAAAAAAAAAAAAAGAGGAATTTGTACTCCCCTTAGAAGGCAAGTTGTATTTAAAGAGAAGTCAACCCTAACAGCACTTCAGAAAAAAAAACAGTTTCTGCTTCTAACTGAACTAGAACATTTCCTTATTTTCAGAGAAAAAAAAAAAAAAAAAAAAAAAAGTGGAATTTGTACTCCTCTTAGAAGGCAGAGAGTGGAAAGGAGAAGGGTTTTCCCAGGTGACTGGGTAGGAAATGATGAGCTCTGAATGTGCAACAGAAAAGTTACTGTCTGGTGTCAGTTGTGATGATCTCTGTTCTAGGCAGGTATGGAAACATCCTACTCTTATGTTGCTTCCTGTGTCTTCTAGGATTGGGCTCTGTCCTTCTGTCTTAGGAATTCGTTACCCCTTTTAAAGCGTGCCCAGTGGTCTGATACTGCATGTGAAACCCAAAAAGCTAACGCTGACTCTGGGTGTTGCCTTCACTGAAATTATGGTCTCTTCTAAATGTTTTCCAAGTCTATAAACACAAATCTTGGTATTTGTATTATTCATGCATTCTTGTTGGAGGAAATGAGATACAAATCAAGAGCTAAAGTAGCTGGGCTCAAAGCAAGCATGATCCTATTACTGCAAGTGAGAAGCCTGAGCCTAGACATCTCTGATTCCACTAATTAAAATGATGTAATGTCTCTTCTGATGGGACACTGACATCTTAAAAAACACCGTTGAACTTTCAGCAATCATCTGTACTGCTTCACATCAAAGCAGCACAGCGTAATTACTTCTGTGACCTGACTGAATTTTTCTCCTGGCTAATGCGCTGAGGCAGGACCTCCTGAGGGGGCCCGAGGAGAGAGGGGCAGAGCGAGACCTGGAGGTCACCTCACAACTACTCCTACCTTCTGCCACAAAAGCATCTCCCTTCATCTGGAAACTTTGTCTGCACTTTGCAAAGTGTATCTCTGACTGTCTTATGATGCTGGCATACAAAAAAACTCCTGCAGCTGCTGCGGCCCACCTGTTCAACAACATCCTGCTCCACCGTATACACAAAAACCAAAGATCAATGGCCTTCCCTTGTTTAACAGATTGCTTCACCCGCGAAGAACATCCACGCAGATGCTCAGAGGGCTGGAGCAGCTCTTCTGTGAGGACAGGCTGAGAGTCTTGGGGTTGTTCAGCCTGGAGAAGAGAAGGCTCTGGGGAGAACCTTACAGCAGCCTTCCGGTATCTGAAGGGGGCCTACAAGAAAGCCCGAGAGGGACTTGTCATAAGGGCAGGTACTGACAGGACGAGAGGTAATGGCTTCAAAGGGGAAGATGGAGATATTAGGAAAAACTTTTTCACTGTGAAGGTGGTGACACGCTGGAACAGGTTGCCCAGAGAGGTTGTGGATGCCTCATAGAATCACAGAATGGTTTGGGTTGGAAGGGACCTTAAAGATCATCTAGTTCCGACCCCCCTGCCGTGGGCAGGGACACCTCCCATTCTGTGACGTTTACTCAGAAAAGGGACAAGCCTCCTGTACCCCCTTTACCGGAACAGCCCTAGAGACCGCACCGCCTCGGGGGAACGAACGTAACCCTTTCCAACACTCTCCCGCAGCCCCGGCATCCCCCCGCGCTCCTTACCGCTCCCTCTCCCCGCCGGCCCTGCAGGTGGCGCCATCGCCCCCGCACCGGCAGCGCGGGCCGGAAGCGCTCTCCTTCCGGCGGGTGGCGGCGGCGCTCGCTGGTTGCGGCCGCTCACGTGGGCGGCCGTTTCCGGGCAGGTTCTCGGGGGCGGAAGGGGGCTCGCGCTGCCGCGTGGTTGGTGAGTAGCCGCGCGCGGGGCTCGGCCGTTGCTACCGCCGTTGCCGGGGGGGAGGAGGAGGAGGAGGAGGAGGCGGCGGCGACCGGCCCAGGCCGGCCTGCGGGTGCCTCCGGCGGGCTCGCCCTGCCCTGCGCTAACGGCCGCCTTTTGTGTGACCCACCCACCCCCTTCCCGCACGCTCCTGCGCAGCGCGGCGGGAAAGCGTGAGCCGTCCCGGGAAACCGGCGGCCTCCCTTCCCCCCCGGGCCGCGGGCGTCGTCCGCCGCCCCTGCCCCACCTCACCTCGCTCGCTACGGGTGGCTTCCCCTCAGCCGCTGCTCCCGCCTCGCCGGCGGAGCCCCGGCTCTTTTCGCAGGGCGGCCGAGGGGTCTCCCGGGAGCCGAACTCCTGGCCTCCCCGCCGGGAGCCCCGGCAGCGGGCGGGCACTAACGCGCTTTATTTAAACGCCTCGTAGAGGGACTGGAGCGGAGCGGCTCTCGGGGAAGAAGCGGAAAGATGTCCCGGGACGCCGAGCACGGTTGTTTAACGGCCTAGACCTGTGGGAAGAGTCGCCGCCTCCGTCTGGGCAGCGCTGCGGCTTCGGTAGGGCGTTTGCGGGGCGGTGCGTGGTGGTTGGGTTGTGTGGTGACTGGGGATGTGCTGTCCAGCGCGGGAGCCGCGGAGAGGTGGCTGCCAGTGAGTACTGCCCTTCGCTGGGAGGGAGAGCGCCCAGGTGGGAGCCTTTATCAGATGAGGAGAAGCTTGGGCACGTACCTTGCTGTCTGGTTCCTCAGGATTTTCTTGATAGGTTGAGCCGGTAAATACGCTGCTGGGGAGATTCCCCGAGGGTGCTACCTCAAAGTTTCGAGGAAGCGAATTACAGGTGAAGCAGGTGCTCTTTTTGGGCTGCTCTCTTGTTTCCCTAAGCCTGATGCAAGGATGGCCAAGCGGCGCTTGGAAGTAGCTTCTGAAAAGTGCTGCGTACAGCTCGATGTTAAAGGAAGCTAGCGTTGATTTGAGGTTATTTTAATGTTTTGGACTGTAGAATTATATTAGTGCAGAAACTGTTAGGTGCACTTAGCTCAGTCCTGTTGGAGGAAGGCCAAGTGAAAATATGGTTGAAGTCAAAAGGCAAACAGTTTCACAAAAATATTTACATAACTTCATAAGCTGTATACAACTGTATTGTATACAATGTCCTATTATGTAGATGCTGGGGTGTCTTCGTGGCTTTGGTTTTGTAACCATTTTGTCTCCAATTTTGTGTTGTACACATGAATTGGAAATGAATATGTTTAGATTTCCAATAAATTATTTCCAAAATATGCAGTGCAAGGTAAACTGTGCTGCTTTTTTTTAGTAGGAGAAAGTAAAGTCCTCCTTTAAAAGAACTTAATTGACTTTGTTCAGGTGAGCATGCACCTGTATTGTAAAGTTTTTAATGCTAATTGGTAAGCCAAACATTTTATCTTGTAGAGTGACTCTTCTTGAATATCTCTACTAAAGCAGGCTTTGTAAGTGAAAATAACAGTCATGTCAAAAGCTTCTAGCTATTTCTGTATGTCTTGCATCAACCAGTGAAAAATCTTGTTGTAATTCTTTCCTAAAAGATGCATATGGTAAAAATCAAAAGCTTATAAAACCTCAGTTGTTATACTTGGACACTAAAGTACCTTTTCATTTTGGCAGCAAAGTCCAAGCTTTTTTAAAGCTTTTTCAGTTGATAGGTTACTTACGCTAAATTTACCCTTCAGTTAAATGGTCTTGCATATAGTGGTGTTCAGCTAGCATGTGAAGAGCAGAAATTAAATTGCAGTCAAATGTTTGTATAATCAGTTATATTGTTTTAAAAGAATAGAAAATGAGAATGATAATTAAAACGTTCACTAATGATTATCCTTATGATGTGTATATGACATGCTGTAGTACAACACAGATATAGAGGTTGAAGTCCACTGGGAAAATCAGCTGTAGGATTCTGTTTTGTAGAGTGAATGATGATTGAACCTACCATAAAAGAATCACTGGATATTTTATTTACAAGTTTCTGGGTTTAGTCAGCTGTATTTTATTTATTTAATTTGGTCTTTAAAATTTGAATGTTGTGTTCGCAACGTTTTTTGGTATAGTTCAGATATTAAGAAGAAACAAAAAGTTTATGTGCCTGACAGCATAGACCTTTGAAGTTGGATATAAATACTGCATACAGTGACATCTGGAAGCATTCAGTTTTCCAGCTCTATAAATCAGCTGTTATCATTAGAAAGTTGTGAGATGTTAAACCTCAGCATGACAATGGCTTTATAATTGTCTTTCGCCTTCACCCTTTTAAGTTGTAAGTAATTTCTGCAACCGCTTCTAGGAGTCATCAGACTATGTATTCATGGCCTTAATTAACGGAAATCTAGGTGCTATTTGTATGTGATGCTAAGTGTTGTGACATCAGCTTCTGGAGTTTTGTTATGAAATAATTTAAAAGTACAGAGATAGAGGGAAGGTAGATAAAATAAAGGAACCTGTGGTGTAGTGTTTTTG